AACTGCAGGTGATGTTGTCCTATTAGTCGAGCCGAACGCAAAGTGTGGCGAGTGGCCGCTTGGTCGCGTCATAGAAACATATCGAGGCGGTGATGGACTCATAAGAGTGGTAAAGATTCGAGTTGGAGACAACGAGTATATCCGACCTGTACACAGATTGTGCCCGTTAGAGAGAGACAATGATTAAAAGAACAATGAAGAAGAAACTTTATAAACTTTATAACTTTAACTTTAGTTTTCGAATGTAGTCACATTCGGGAGGGGGATGTTTTGGAATGTTGACATTGTTTAAAATTTAATAAGTCCTACCCCCCCCCCAATTAGGATAGGAAAAAAGGACTGGACACGAACGGTCGCGCGGAGAAAAAGAGAGCATGGTTAGGGTTCTTTTGTAATGCTTGTGTTCTAAAAATACAGTGTTTAAAAAGGTTGTTTATCGACTTTAAAACCACGCAAAGAATCCAAAATAGTGAAAAGTAGATCCATTCTTTATTCGACAAGTTCTAAACGAGAACACGCTGTCTTAAGCTCCCTAATATGTTGGACATTGGTGGCTTTTCATCGTTATGCGCATGCGTGAGTACACGTACCCGAGAGTACACAGGTATGTAAGAAAAATATTTAAACAATAAACGAAAGAAGTTAATTAAAGGCGGAAATTTCGAGAATTCTATATTACCATGTCCATGGGAACCACAATGCTTTTAGGTGGTTTTCAGTTACATTGTAAATAGAATACTTAATATTGAAACAATGTTAACGTTTTGGAATTACAGTCCCACTGTTTAAGAAAGGGCGAGGGGTCTTGTGTGCATGTATTTCTGGCAGCCTAGTATATTTTTAAATATGGTTTTACAGTTAGACAAAGCCTTTCCAGCCCCCTGGTGCCCCACCCTCTCCACCACTCAACCTTTCCCTCCTGCTAGTTAAAGTCCCTTTTTTCTAAAATGTAACGCTGTATATCCAAAAATTTGTTTTATAAAACGGACAAAATCCCGTCTAGGGTGGAAAAATACCAAATGTTTCTGGAGGAAAATCCCCCCAACCCCGTACTATGACATATGACACCACACCAAACTTTTTTGTCACCAACAAGCATCTGTCATCTCGGCATACTCAATATAGTATGGTCCCTTATCATACAATCATGGACAAAGCTGGTCATAAAATCGACCAAATTTTAAGAAAATACAATAAAATAACTTCATTACATTCCTATTTTTCTACACATGCACGTTTTAAACGTAATTCAACAACATTGTGTTGGGGGGAGGGGGGGATGTCTTAGGTAAAATGCAAATCAAACTAAAGTTTAATTTAAACTCTCACAGAGCCAAATTAAAATTTTATTAACAAGTTATGTCCACCATTATAGATCCCCCCCCCCACGAACGAAATCCTGAATCAGGCCTTGCAAGACTGACACAATTATGTAAACCCTAGAACAATGCAGAACAAATTAAATTGCGGAATTGGGAATGTTGGACTGGGGCAGGTTGTATAAAAACGTAATTATAGCGCTAACTCTAGTTAGCGTTAATCACTGTAGTTAAATCCTTAACTGTAATTAGTTAACTACATGACTTAACTGCGTTGCACAAAACGCAGTTAATCAGATAATTAACTAATCACGTAGTTAACTGTGCGTGGGGCTTGCGTGGGGGCGTTTAAACACAAAATTACATAAAGTAAGCAATGATTAACGACTGCTGACTCGCATTTTTAACATGATTGTGGACTCGTATGTTGAAAATAGTTCGGAATTTTATTCAAAACACTAGAAAACAGTGAAAATATGCAAGAAAACAAGCAAAATCGCCAGAAAATCATAAAGGAAGGCAGTTTTTCCATGAGATGTCTACGTTAAACCAAGGTTAATTGGTCTAATGGACCATATACTTCGTCTTCGAGAAATCGTCTAGGCCTGTGCAAAAATATGTTCTGTTTTCGTAAAAATACCAAAGCGATAGCGTTTGAAGAGTTTATATTTTCAGAAAACACAGAGAAGAATAGCAATTGAAAATCCAAGGTAAGCGTTGCTTTTCAATGTTGCTTTACTGATAAATGTTGTTCCCTCCTGTACAAACGCCATGTTTAACTACGTTTTGGATAGTTACCTATACCCTAAAGCATAGTTAACTTTAACTACCTTTTAACTACTTTTCAACTGCAGTTAAGGCTAACTACAATTTATACAACCGGCTTAACAACGTGATTAAAGTTGACTATATACTATTTAAATACTTTTTAACTGCATTTAGCGCTAACTACGTTTTTATACAACCGGCCCCTGAATCTTGCTTAGCGACTGGGTCATCTGACAAAGCGAAAGTAAGACTTAAGAAATATTTTGCATAGTTGCATTCGGCAAAATACGCGAAAAGCTGACAGCTGTAGTCTCTAGTATTTTAAACTTTCGATACATAGACCAGCTACCGAATATGGTCCGAACCTCTGTGTCCGAACTCATGTTTAATTAAACCGGGAGACGACACTATCTAATTCCTTGTGAAGTCTATGCTAATACCAGAAAGGTAGTTATTCATGCCAATACCAAATCGCTCTCATGTATTCCTCAACTATCAATTTTCGAAAATAAGAAATATGCCCCACTCGTCACCTATTCAGATATCTATATTAGGCTATAAATAAGTATACAAAGCCAAAGCAAAAATTAATCCGGCAACATAATCATCAAAGTGAAAGCAGGCCATATTATAATCAAAGACACAGTGAAAGTATCGTAGTTTTTGTTTCAAAAATATATAGGCCGGTGAAAAAAACTAGATTTTACTCCACATAACCCTTATAATTTACCACTTCATATTATACAACATATATGGTACAATGCATATATATATTAGTTTCTTTCGCTTTCTGTTCGCCTCGCTTCATAAGCATAGCCACATGGAAATCACACAATTTAATAATCACTAACTCTGAATATTAAATGCACATATGGATTCTTTGTTTCCAATTCTGCACGTACGCCATGTAGTTTTTCTATTCAGTAGAGATTCAGGGTTAATGATACTAGACTACTTACATTCTTCTTCCTCAAAAACTACAACTGCGTTGTCGCCATTCCATCTGCTAGCATCTGAATCGACATCGCCGCCTCCTGACTTGCTGGACTGGAAATATATGATCAATTTTTCTTCGGTAATCTCAGGCGGTATATTGTTCACGTAAAGTGACCAGGGCATCTTTATTTCGCTTAAATAAGCATACTTACGTACGCTGTTTCAAACCACAGTGCATATCCTCACAACAGCTGCGTCAAAATGAAACTAAACGAAACTGGAGTCAGGAGTCTACCTTATACGGTTAGCACTATTTTCCATCCAGTAAACAGCCCTATCGATTTTCTAAAGTCGTTTCTTCTTGGCTTTTTTTCTGTTAATTCGGTTAGGGTTAGAGTTAGGGTTGCGATTAGGGGTTAGGGGTTAGAGTAGGGGTAGGATTTGGGTTAGTTACATAGCCATTTAACACCTCTTCCATCTTCCAAAAATGACGTCAGGTCAGTTTGCTAGATGGAAAATAGTGCTAACATACCTTATACCTGCAGAATGTAGGCGGATTAATGCAAACTTATTTTTCCAGGAAGTCGCGGGTCATTCCAAGTATTTGATTTTCACATTTTTTTAAATGTGATCTATTTACACTTTAATGAGAAATATAAAGTTGCTTTTGTAAGTGAGTTTTAATAAAATAATAAAGTATATGATTTAAGCCTGGTCCACACTAGCAATTCTGTCGGCAATTTTTCTCCTTCTGGCAAATGTGATCGAATGAATGACATGCAAAAGACTTAATTCTTAAAATTGTTTACTTCTGAAAAGCGACTCTATACTTTTGTGTACGAGTTCACTCATTTTCATCCGTCAGAATCACAGAATCAGGATTCAACGCTATGTTTATTTTGATCGTAGCAGAGAAGGTAGATATAAACAATAATTGTGTTATCTGCTTATTTATACAATATTGTAATGCGATATCGATCAATATTCCAGTGTAGGCCCTCGTTTTCATGAGACCGGAACGAAATCAAACCGGGACCATTTCGTTTTTGTCATAGTATTATTTATAACAGATGTTTACATGAGACCGAGACGAAAATAACTCTCAAGTCATCCCGGTCTCAACTCTCAAGTCATTCAGCCTGCTGGAGTGCTGGAGCGAGCCGACTAAGGCCTCGTTTACATGAGATCGGTGTCACAGTGATTTGTGTTACCCCGTGAAGTTTGTTACCCCTCGGATAACATTCCTTTTTTTTTACCAAATTTATTTGGATCAAGCATGTATATACAAACATGCCAAAAGGCAAATATTTACATATTAAAACGCAGACATTTTAAAGTTGTTTTGAAAAGTTCCCATGCAAGGCACCTGTCGGCGTCCAATTATATCATAGTACACATACGTATACGCACGCTCACTGACAAAACACACACCAGGGCGCTGTAAGACACGAGCGGGGAAACGCGCTGATCCATGTGTGATGCGGATGGGACTGGCGCGAGCGCGCTTATTTTTCAAAATGAAAAGAAAAAAGGAGCGAGAAATGGCAGAAAAAATTAAAGAAAGTTTTATAGGAAAGCATCGATCCTTATACAAGATATAAGAGTAGCTTTTTTAAATGAAATTTATAGTGTCATAATGCTAGATTAATGGACAATAAATGTCTCATATTAATTATCGACAAAGATGACTAAACTAAAATATATTCCCATTTTATCTGTCGCAAGTGCAAATTTTTTTCATCAAAATTTTCGAGTTTGAAAGGGTGCATTTTGGCTTTAAATTGGCCTTTCACCATGGGTAAGTTGCCAAAGTTATTTTGAAATCATCATCCTCTTCGCCATTTAATGGCCATTCTAATACATATAGCGAGCGAATGGACTTTTTTGAACTTTTTGCTATATTTAATGTTTTCTACAACCTATACTGTACTTCTCTCGCCCGGCCCGGAAGAAAGACTTGCAAATTTAAACAACATATTAACCAAAACATAATATATATTGCAAATGCACAGCAAAGTAGTACTAGTGTCCAAATTGAATGCAAAATATCATATCTAGCACCAGTATTTAAACTATTGCAATGTTGGTATTTCTTCTATATCTGAACAAAAAAGCGCGCGTTTAAAATGGACTTAAACTTGACAAGACTCACAAGAGTAAGCAAGCGATATGCAAAGCATTTCAAACTCATGCCTTATATGCGGGTTTTTTTGCCATGAAAATTAATTAATTTGAGAATGAATTTATCACTATAGGCCTACATTAAAAATTTGTACCGATAACAAGGTCAAATTATAGCTAGGAAACCGGCTTTTTTGTTTAAATGCAGTTTTTCGAGCTTCTTTTAGCCGTGTGATATTCAAAAACAGAAAGTCGATCAACGCGAAGTCGAAGGAAATGCAGCCAACTTGAACATATTTTGGTCATGAAACAATTAAAGCACGGAAACAGTTATATCTTTTTCCCTATGTGGAAAACTTGCCATAAAAAATTACACAAATAAAAATCAAGTTATAATGCACCCAAATTAAACTAACATAAAACCGGCTTTTTTATTTAAACAGAGTTTTTCAAGCTTGTTTTAGCCGTGTAATATTCAAAACTAAGAAGACAATGAAGCCATCTTGAACATATAAATTTGACATGAAACAAAGCGCGCACATAGTTTATATATTTTCTCTAGGTGGAAAAGTTGCTCTAAAATTTGTACATGACATGGTGAAGTTATAACAGCATGAGCTCCACCTTTGAATTTACTATATCGGTAAATTCTTAAACACGTCCGAATTTATCATTATGATAAATTCGCGGCACATTTTGAATTTATCATAATAATAAATTCGCGGCACCTAGCACTAACCCCAACCCTAACCAGTAACCCCTAGCCACTAACCCCTAACCCTAACTTTTTAAACTTTTAAAATTTTTTTAGCTTTTTTAACTTTTTAAACTTTTTTAAAAATCTAACTTTTTAAATTTTTTCTGCTTTCTAAAACTCTTTTAAAACTTTTTTAAAAACTATTTTTTTAAAAAACTCGAAAATCAGTGCCATTACATTTATAGCAAGAAGTCTTGTCTAATGCTAGTGGTTTTATGATTAACTCTATTGATAAATTCAAAATGTGCCGCGAATTTATCATACTGTGATAAATTCGGACGTGTTTAAGAATTTACTCATATAGTAAATTCAAAGGTGGAGCTCATGTTGAGTTTTTATGTATCTATCTTAAGCTAATAGAAAACCGGCTTTATTGTTTAACAGAGTTTTTTCAACTTGTTTCATTGGCAGTCAGACTCAAAAACACGAAGACAAAGACATTGATATAGATATGCACAAGGTAGTAATTCGGTCATGAAACAAAACGCGAAATAGTTTATATCGTTTTCAATAGGTCGAAAACATGCCCTAAAAATTTGCACAGATAAAAATTAAATTATAATACATCCATTTTAATTAAAGTAACAGAAAACCGGCTTTTTTTGTTTAGGGACTGGTCATAAAGTAACTGCTAGGGTGGGCTGGAGGTAAATCACAAATTTTGCCAATAAGTTTGGTGACCCATCTTAGGATGTAGATAAAAATTTCAAAGCCCATCCAATCTTACCAAATTTATTTCTTCAGAAAGTTCCTTTCAAATTTTCCCAACTTCCTGTTTTAATTTCCTCACTTCCTGTTCTGTTCTGACCATTGTCATTGGTGGATTATTTTTGTAGCCAATTGCAACGCACAGAACAGA